ATAGCCATTAAGCACCTACTTGATGACAGGCTCTACCAAAAGATATTGCTCGTTTCCAAACATTCATTCATTTACTTGCCGTTCATCAGAACCATTATGGCACCTTAGATTGATATTCGCACAAAACCATTAAGGTATTTTGATAACCATACATCCATAAAGTTGAATATTTTTCGTTGTTCAGGAACTGAACAAACATCCACACTATATTCACAGCGATTAAGAAATTCCCAAATATATGCCTTCAAGCTACCAGCAAACCTAAAACCTGCAAAAAAACGACAAATTTGACATATTTTTCTTTTTTCACGAGTACACATTCTAGTTTATATTTATATTAGACATTATTTGAATACATCTGATTATTTCATTTCAAGGAGTGACACATGTGTGGGATCTGTCAACTCTTGGTACCAGTCACAAACAATGACAACACGGTGACCTGTGTGGTTGTCAGCGGCCATTTTGTGAGGGAGCGACATGGTTGCCAGATTGTGCATTAATATCCCGTTTCACCCCCCTGGTCACAGTGGAGTAAGCTCCGCCAACTGTTTAAATATACTCTACTATGCTTTATAAGAGTATTCGTGGAATTTTTCCCAAATTGTCGCACCCTTCATCACGGGACGTGATCGTCATTAGACTTGGCAACCCTGCGAGTGACAGATAGATAACCCCACTAGTGGAAAAGGCACTCAAACAATAAACATTATTTTATGATTTTTGGACTTAAAAGACATTATTTGTGAGACATTTTTCATAATTTTTTGTGTATGTCCATAGTAATTGCATTATGCATCACGGAGATGTAGGGATTGACACGTCTTACACATATTATCTGTGTTTTAGGATGGAGAGGACAATGCTTTTATTGCTTTGAAGAAATTCAGTAACCCGTAAATTAGTAAATGATTACTATTATGATGTAAAGGAAGATCAGGCATTGGATGGAATGTATTTTATATTCTATTTTCTTGCAAAATACAGACAAATCCACACTATTCAACATGTATGTAATGATAACAGTATATTGAACTTAAATTCGAGATTGCCATGCATTAACAAACGTCCAAATCTGCTGCCAAATTTAACAGCTAGAAAATCGACCTATTATTTGCCGCATTCCCATTGGCTTTTGGGGATAACTGATTGTTAAATGTAAATTTATAACACAAATCAAAATACATGAAAGTTGACCTGTTTTCTCTGTACAAAAGCATCATGTTGGAATCAAGTGGTCTTGTTTATAATACACATTCACGATTTTATTCAATATTTTAATAGAAATACTGATATTCTGAGACCTTTGACAGCTTCTGTAAAATTGCATTTCAATAAGGTATTTTCCCATTGGTCCATAATATTAATGTTGGTGAAATTGGCCCTTAGGCTGTTCAAAAATTGGATTGTCTTTACGTCCCTATTAATCGCGGTGCCGATTTGAGATATCTGAATGGGTAAAAAAATCACAATATTTTTTTCAAGATAACCATTGCATGAACATTATTACTGCCTCCTTGATCATATATAATGTAATATATCTATTGAGATACACAAGATTGCTTCAAGTATATTTTTTATCAGACCAGAGTAATAAGTAGTCCAAGCCAGGTGACTGAAAAGCATACGATTTTCTCCCAATTTTACAGCAGTATTTGAATGCTCGTCAAGGTTCATGCAATCTCTATATTTTTTTTTATCAGTAACCACGGAAACAAATCATTTTTCTACATTTAAGCCAGGCATTTCAAAAACGAAGTATTATATTTTAATACCATTCTAGTTTCATATCAGATTTGTAAACATTTATTTGGATTGATATTCTCATAGCAGGCCATGTAAATTTTACAGGGATTGTCTCAGACACAAATCGGCAATTTTTTTAGAAAGTTTGTAGAAACATGTGTTAGTGTAATGCTGTAAGCTCCGAATTCTGCCGTTTGCCAGGAAACCAGATAACATTTGTTGTAAGTTTTGGAGCTATGTTTGTATATTATTTGTGCTTATCTTGGAAATAAAAACAATTCATTATTATTATATTTTCTGATACAATTTCGTTTTTTAACTGATGACTGATTAACATAACAATTTCAGCGATATAATATTTCATTTTATACAATTACCTTATTTGAGCAATAATTCCCTAGATCAAGTTGTACGAACTAACCCACGCATTACCACATGATTCTTGTACGTATATTCGCTCATTACACAATATGTATGAGTTACTATAAGTGTGTAGATACAAATAGATAACTTTAATCGCCTTTGTTATAACACTATTGTTAGCAGTTAGATATTTTTCTCTGTTAGTAAAATCTGGCTGTAAATGTTAATGGGTAATTTAAAGGTTTTGCATAGACGTAGCAGCTGAAATAATGAAGAGGTTGGAAAATATGAGTCTGTCGGGGAAATTGCAATAAATCAGTCTGTATTCTGCTTCAACATTGACTATTCCATATAAACATTCGTTTGTCCGTATTCTGGACTGTGAAGCGATCTATTAAGTCAAACAAATGTTCTTCCTTTGCTTTGTGTCGGTATGTTTATTTTTCAAAGAATTGGCTTGGATAAATGCTGTGTTTAATTGTCATTCTGATGAGCCAGAAGGACGACCAGTAACGATGAGAGACCTGGAAGTTATCACCTCTTGGGGACGCAACAATCTGATCCAAAACATAGTACTAAATCTTGACTAACAAGAAGCTCCGTAGCGGTTTTGATGGACCATTCGCTTTGGCTGGTCGGAGTCCAGATCAGGACTTGATTTGAACACTTCTCGTCCTTGGCAATAGCTACCGGTAAACAGCTAGAGTATTAGTTTAAGACTAAGAAGTAATTTTCTACGCACAACTTCCTCGCTCTATACAAGGCCCAGATAAGACGTAGCCTCGCGTACTGCTCACATGTTTGGTATGCTGCGTCCCGACTACATTGCCCATACTCAATACTGTTCAGAAGAGGGCTGTTGGACCATCGCTCCTACGTTCCTAGGGTGTCAAGATTGTGAAACAGGAGGTTTTTCCCAAATCTAACCTAGGTAGTTCAAACATCGGATTTTCAAGGCGTCTTCAAGCTACGTACGGCTATTTTATAAAATACCTAAAAAACGTCAAAAAACCGACTAAATGTCATCTTGCAGGCTAGGTAATTTTGAGTGTGCAAATAGTTCATTCTACGTTTGGTTGCTATGATCGCTGTTCGCGGACATTTAGGCCCGTATGGTCAGTCGTCCCTACAATTGTAGTGCGCCTTTATGGCCTCCTTGATTGTCATAGTTTTCTACTTCTCCGTGTCAGAACTCTATTTTGAGGTTATGTCACAAACATCTATTTGCATCAAATTGTGCTTACTTTTGAGTTATATCATGTTTTATCAGCCTGAAATTTCCTACAATTTAAAAAGAAAACATATCTTCACAATAGGAGAGCGCTGACGATGTCACGGGACAAGTGTAATCTAGAAATTTTTGAAGGAGAGAAAGAAGTATGACAATTAAGGAGGCCATAAACTCGCCCTACAATTGTAGGGACGACTGACGATACGGGCCTTAAGCAACACGAACAGCTACATAACGAGTTCACAAGTGTAAACAGCTTGTGCTAAGTTAACATCTTGGAGATAAACGTATGAAACATCAAAAAAACGGACATAACGTCACTTTTTAAGATACGTAATACCAGTGTCGTTATTCAGGTTTCTGCGTACGCGACTGGTTCACTATAAAAAAAGGTAATCTAAAAAGCTCATGTGAGATTTAAAAAATGCACCCCTTCCAAAATACAAAGTATTTAATATCAATTATTTATTTCAAATTCGCTATTACGCTCATGTTACGTTAATTGTATAATATCCGTCATAGCATACCTACTGTATGGGGATCCTGTGTATGGTGCGCCTATGCTGTTCCAACACATTAGTGGCACGTACGAAAGCAACATTCGTAAATGCTATCCGATTGCCAATTGGACCTTTTTGAATCGATCTATAAGAAACGGATAAGTTATTGATATTTATGAGTGGTAAATGTCAACTGTCAACGGGCGTATGTGCGCTTTCCTGTTTGCTTACAGCGGGTGTGTATGTGTTTTTGTCTGTTGATTTCTTAATATCGCGACTGGTATTTCGAATGGTTTTTCAAGACAAAAACCAATAGCCTTTAGGCGTTTATTTACAAATAGGCTAGTTTCGCCATATATGAATTTTAACGTAAACTAGTTGTAGGAAAGTTAAATGTTACTATGTTGCGATATGGCTTGTTGGAATTAATTTCATCGATTATTTAATGTTACTACGTGATATTTGATGAAATTATATCTTGTTCTTTTGCGTTTCCTGTATACCGAGTGATACAGGATGTGGTTATAGCTTTTTTATTTTTTGTTGATATTTGAGGGTATAATGTATAGTTGATCCTTCAGTTGAAGCCTCCTCTTAAAACAGCTTTTTTGCCTTGATACCCTTGTCACTTACGGCCGTATTCACCAATTCGGCGTTTGCCAGACTGTTATTTATCAGTTGTACAAAATATAACAGTCAGTTAAACAATAGTGGTACTCACCAAGACTTTTCGGCTTGACTTGCCTTGACTTCTTTTGCTCATCAGGTTAGGCCGGGGGCCTTTTGTCCAAAAATTACTGCGATTCTAACTGGCAGAAAAGCGAATGTCTTTAACAAAAAATGCCAAAGATAGATTATACAGTTATGAAAATTATATGAAAAAAGTAGTCAGTGTAAAGAAATAAAGAATAAATCGTAGTTTTAGATGTTCAGATTGTTAAAGAAGTGCTAATCTAGGTCTTTTGTGTTTGTGAAACTTTTTGGCTTCTAATAGCAAACTGACTGTCATACAAAAATCTTAAATTTCTTTAAGTTGGTGCCTCTTGACGAAAAACGAGAACCACATCTAACCTCACTTTATTGCTGTTGTGTGTTGTCATGTGGTTGTCATTCACGGTGTCAGTTTTGAAATGGTTTTTCATCATGGAAAAGTCATAAAGAATAGATCAGCTAAATATACATCAACAGACAATAATTTCCTTCGTTGAAAAATATCAAAATATAATTGATGACAAAAATACTTAACAAGCAGAAACATGAGTGTTGGGAGAAGCTTTCCGGGGTATTCCATTCAAACAACTGGCCTCAGAACTGGCCAACAACTAAAAAGCAAAACAACCTAAATCTGAAGACAAGGTATGATTATTCTCACAGGATTTGGACAAAGAAATTAACTTGTTCTCTTTTTTCAGGTGAATTTGTTAAAAACGGATAGTGGGGTATCTATTCCTCGAACTACTACATTTGATGAAAAAGTGTTAATCCTTTTAGTTATATTAAACAAGAGTATATGAAGTATACTAAGTGACATATAAATCCGAACACCCAGTTTAAATGGTTTTATTTTAATAAAATTTTGTGTAAGTACTTAATGAAGCATGATAAGTAAATGACAAAAATTTCAAAATGCTTTAAAGCCCTTTGACCTTTAATAATGTGTGGATGCACCCTGATGTGCTACGCATTCTCTAACGCGCCTAGGCATGCTTCTGATCAGGTAAAAGATAGGGTAAAAGATGGGGTTCTAGAACTTCGTGGATATAACGCTGCGCGTTCATGTTACCTCTGATGAAGATTAAAGGTGACCTGGAACCATAAGCTATAGCACCCCAAACCATAACTCCAACAGTGTGATGAACATGTCTTTCAACAAAAAACTGTGGATTCCTCCTTTCACCACGTCGCCTTCTAACCCTGGCACGACCATCGTGCATGCCTAAACAAAATCGAGACTCGTCACTAAAGACAATACTGTTCCATTCCTGATCCCAGAGTGACCGTTGTCTGCACCACTCAAGGCGATTACATCGGTGTTCTCGAGTTAAAGGGAGGACCCAGTGTGGCCGGTATGAAAACAAGCCAAAACTTCTCATTCGTCGGTAAACACTTCGCATGCCAATAGGTCTTCCGTGTTCTGCAAACCATTCATTTGCAATGGACCTGATAGTGGAGAAACGGTCCCTTAAGGCCAATAATCTTAGGCGGCGATCTTCACAGTCTGTTGTTCTACGGCGGCGTCCAGTGCCCCTTGCTCTTTGCGTACGGCCTTCTCGAAGCCATGCCTGACAACACCTAACCACAGTGTCTACACTTCTTTGCACTCTAACTGCAATTGCCCGAAAAGAAAGTCCAGCTTCCCGAAGTCCTACTATACGGCCCCTATGTAACTCACTAAGTTGACGAAATCGTACAGGTCTCCGTACTCTAGGCATCGTAACCGATCGTAAAGGATGTCAAGAACCAAAATCCGCCAACGTTGATTCTTTACTGCGGCTGAAATATTCATTTTTAGAGCGTTAGTGAATTAAAAAAAAAGCAGTATAAAAACCGGAATGTCCAACTGATAAGGGCTGAAAATGTTTTCACTTGTTATTTACAGTAAGATAGATACATTCACCAACTTTTATTAAAATAAAACTATTTAAACTGGGTGTTTGGATTTATATGTCACTTAGTATATTTATCACTAAATTGAATTACTATTTCTGTTCCCACGAAGATACAAGTGCCGATTATAACTTATAGGCAAAGTGATCTGTATTGAAGGTAATATACATAAAATAATTTCCATAAGAATTTAATTTTAAGCGGGTAGAAACGTTGAAGACATAAATCTTTACATGATAATTAATTTTTTCATGACAACATAAAAATTGATGAAATTATTGAGTCTCTTGTTGCAGTATTTTGAGATCCAATTCGGACCTGGATCTTTTCAATTTGTTCCATTTCAGATCTATTCTCAAAAAAATCGATAGTGTGATTTTGTTCTAAGCACATGTTGTGCAGCACAGCAGTTGCCACAATAACCTCACACATAGTTTCAAGTTTTAGCCCCCATATCAAGATTTGGTTTTCTTTTGAGATTGGCTGGTTCCTTTCATTTATCGGTTCTATAACATTTTGCAATACAGTTTCCAGTCGCCTAAATGTATTTTTATTTATTCTAAATCTTCTTTTCAACCCCAAATCATCTAGTTCAATCAAGGGAAACCGCCTAGTTCTTACAATTCTTTCTCTCGGGTTATCTTCAATGTGTGTGTCTGTTTCCGAAGATTCTAATATGACGGTAATATCAATTCTGCTGAGGCTATCCATTTTGATACATGTACAAAACAAGCCCTTACTCGCTGTTCGCTGACTGTATTTTGTAAATCACTTCTAACAAATCTTCAGGCAACATAAAGTCGTGATGACACTTTTGACTTTTTAGTATTAAACAGTCAGTTAGTGGTTTACCAGCCCAACATCGCGCTGTTAGCTTATCCATGACTTTAACAGACTGTTTGCTATGATGTGTTGATGTTGAATACTAAAAATGGATTTAACAATGTGTTAAATAATTTAACAGTCTGTTAGGGAATGGTGAATACGGCCGTTAGAAGGACAATAAGTTCTGAAATATCTTTCTCAAGGAAGACGTCCTTGCACCTCCTCAACAAGCAGATTATTAATATATTAATATGATGGTTGATGCGGAATTTGTTTTCTATGGACGTAACAAACTCAATGACTAGTAGGTTAATTCGTTGCTTCATAGCATTAGTCACATAAGGCAATATCATATATATAGAACGGGTGCGGCCCATAGGATTTTTTTGGGGAGGGGCTAATAATAATTTATAATACATATAATATTTTTGAAATTATAAATGGTCAACATAAAAAAATTAAACCTTCAATTGCCAATTTGCCAATAACTTTTCTAGAGAGTTTTTGTTCTTACTTTTGGACTGGCGGGTCACAAAAAATATTAAATACAATGTCATTTTGCCCCTAAAACAGGAAACTCTTTTTGGTGCTATTTTGGGGGAATTTACATTCATACATGACTTCAATCTATACAGTGAAGCTAATACAACTTTTATGGATTGTTTTAGATGAGTCGAATTGCGCGTACTTGTAAGAAAGTATTTGAAATCTCATTTTACGCAGCGGTGGCTTTCTTTCGTGTATTTTTTTAGTACTGGAATCTAAAAATATTGGAGGAAAGTTGATGAAAAATATATGAATATCTCACTAGAAAAAACGTATTTTCCTGTGTTCAAGAGGCATAGTATTAATACGTATATATTTTTGTTTCGTGGTTAAAAATTAAAATAAAAACATTTTTTTTCAATATCTTCAAAACCGACAACTGAGATGAACTAAAATTTGGTATATATTGTCCACATTCAAAAGGCTTCACTTAAAATTAACGTGCACCAGTGGCGGAGATTCATGGGATAAGTGGCATTATTATTCCAAATAGAAATAGTATGCCACTGTTTCTTGTTCGAAACGCGCAATTTTTCGAATTTTGATACAAATAATTACTCTTGTTTTTTCATTCATGAAGAGCCGACATACAATTAGTTTCAAAATAAGAATCCATTCGTTTCAGCACAGATTTTCTAGAAATGTCAGATGCGGCATTTTCAATGGCCAACTGTTTATGCACGTATTGCCACAACCCTTAAATGCAAACTCATACTTGGCTTTTCTAGAGAATTACATAGGAAATGTGTTAGATAATGTTCCGTTAACAACGAGAGTACGAATGTGATGTTCGTCGTGACATATCATACATAATCATTTCAAACAACGATGGATTGGCAGAAACGGACCCGTACATTGGTACATTGGCCTGCCAGGTCTCCTGATTTGAAGCCTCTCGATTTCTTTTTGTGGGGCGCTTTTAAACAACTAAGGTGTGCTGAACAAATTAATACTGTTGATCAGTTGCAAGAAAGAATAGATCATGCGTTTCATCAAATTTTGCGGAAATAACTTTTTCTTTATCAAAAAGTTGTCCCAGTTGTATCCGTCAGAATGATGGTCTTTTTGAACATTTATTGAAATAAAGCTTTGATTATCTAATTTGTTTTTTTTATTTCTAGCAAATTGAAGGTAACATTCGAAAAATTACGCGTTTCGAAAAAAAAAAAACAGTAGCGTACTATTTTTATTTGTAAAGATAATGCCACTCATCCCCTGTATCTTCGCCACTGGTGCACGTTAATTTTAGGTAAAGACTTTTGAATGTGGAAAATACTCAGGTAAATCCGCATATCAAAGTTTAGTTCATTCCAGTTGACGGTTTTTAAGATATTAAAAAAAATGTTTTTAATTTCTGAACTTCTTGTTAAAATGTTACGTAGAAGACCCCCTTAAAATGCGGTCCTGTGTATGTTCTTTCATTTTTGGTCACGACTTGTGAAACAACCTGTATATCTCCATACTATTTATTTATATTTTTTTTTAAATAGGTTTAAAATTTTTGAGGCGATCGTCTACAGGTTTCAATAAAACATACACAAAAGCAGCAAGTTGGTGAATGTAACTAGAAATATTTGACGAGACTTCTGTCACTCTATTCGCGTATTTAGCCATAAGGTTCTTTCATGAAAAGTGAAACCGTACACTTCACATTTTTTTATAACTCGATCGCGTTGACATACGACAACAAATTCGTATCGTGTGCTTAATGGGCATTGTATAGTCACGTCTTGACACTTTTTTCGTGTCCCACGAAGTGATGAAGGCATATGTTACACCTATTAGCATCGGCGTATTGTTGCCGAGTTTCTAATGATTGCCCAATGCTGTGTGTTTCAGTTGCAATCTGTAAGACAAATCGCTTGTGTCAACGTTCAACGCCGCTATTGCCTGATGGTGATAAAATAAATGATGGCGAAGTCTGCCAGGATGTGGTAACGTGGTTAAACATTCACATATAGGAAATTTGATCGCAAGAAATTTAGCATTTAGTAATACTGATAGGAAAGGGAAATGTAGCAACTAGGTCACTTTTGGCCCATTCTGCAAATTCTTTGAATATAAACTATACCTGGCTTCTTTTTCGATCTTAGTCAGTCTTCTAATAGTAATCAGAAATAGACACGTTTGAAATAAAGTTCATGTGAGGTAAAACAGCACTGTAAACGTAAAAATAGTAATTGAGGAAAAATACTCATTTATTTGGTACGGCCTCTCAAGTACTGCCCACATGTCGTTATCGCCGTTCGATTCAAAAACACGAATTTGTTTAATCCTTCCTAAATGTTGGGGCTGCTTAGGGCCACCCAGAAATGGAATGGAAATATGGAGGACGACAACTATGTTATTGCTATAGAAATGTGCCAATTTCGATTTTCAACTGCGGTTTGGTTATAAATTATATTAACCTACACACCACGCGACACTTGATTTGGAATTGACTCACAAAACATTTTACCGTCAGACGTAGGAGGGGCGGGA